ATTTTCCCTTCTTAACCATTGACATATTGGAGAAGTATCTTATTTGAAATTAACATACAAAATTCATATGCAAGCTCGTATGGACTGTTGAGTGGATTTATCAGTTTTAAACCCTCATCCTAGCATTATTTTTTGTCAAGGGAGAGCTCTTAGAAAGGGGGATTGGTTAGGTTAGATAGAAATTGTTCAAACAATCTGTTGATGGTTTCTCTTCTTGACCTGGAATATATTTTACTTTTACGCGTTGTTCTTGCTACAACGTTTTCTGGTAATTAGAGATTTATGTTGAATAACGTATGATATAACATCGTTGTGGTATTTGCTTTTAGTTACTCTCTCTCTCTCTCTCTCTCTCTCTCTCTAATCCTTCCCGTTTGCCTTGGGTTCATTATGATATGTCATGTTAAAGGCTGCTTTGGGACATCTTATGGATGTCTTAATGACTTTCCAGGAAGTTGGAGCCAGTGTCAAGAGGATGCATGCCAGCGAAGGTGCAGAAATTCTCCCGCGTCCACCTGTTGTGACAGTTATGGGCCATGTCGACCATGGTAAAACTTCTCTTTTAGATGCTCTACGTCAAACATCAATAGCAGCCAAAGAAGCTGGAGGCATAACTCAACATCTTGGTGCTTTTGTTGTTAGCATGCCATCAGGGGCATCAATTACATTCCTTGACACCCCTGGTCATGCCGCATTTAGTGCAATGCGAGCAAGAGGTGCTGCAGTCACAGATATAGTTGTGTTAGTTGTAGCTGCTGATGATGGGGTGATGCCCCAGACTCTTGAAGCCATTGCCCATGCAAAGGCAGCTAATGTACCAATTGTGGTTGCAGTTAATAAATGCGATAAACCAGCTGCTAACCCAGAGAGAGTAAAAATACAGCTTGCTTCAGAGGGTTTGCTGCTGGAGGATATGGGTGGAGATATTCAGGTGGTTGAAGTTTCAGCAATAAAGAAAACTGGATTGGATAACTTGGAGGAGGCTTTGCTATTACAGGCTGATGTGATGAACCTAAAAACACGTGTGGATGGACCTGCTCAAGCTTATGTTGTGGAGGCCAGACTTGACAAAGGGCGTGGCCCATTAGCCACTGCAATAGTGAAAGCAGGGACTTTGGTTAGTGGGCAGCATGTGGTTGTGGGCTCCGAGTGGGGCAGAATAAGAGCTATTAGAGATATGGTTGGAAAATTGACAGAGCGGGCAACGCCTGCAATGCCAGTTGAGATTGAGGGTTTGAAGGGGCTTCCAATGGCTGGTGATGATATTATTGTCGTGCAATCCGAGGAGCGAGCTAGAATGCTTAGCGAAGGGAGGAAAAAGAAATTTGAGAAAGACAGGCTATTGAAGATCAGCGATGTAAGAGCTGAAGCTTTGGAGCAATTAGAAGAGGTGCCTCTGAGGGCTGAAATGCCTATAATTGTAAAAGCAGATGTACAAGGCACTGTCCAAGCTGTCACAGATGCATTGAAAACTCTAAATAGTCCCCAGGTATGTGTGAAAGTCAAGCTGCGTTATCCGACTGTTATGGTTTTTTTGGGGTTTTAACCCAATGGCCTTGGTTGCTGATATTTGTTCAGCATTACTCACAATTGGTACGAGTAGTCTTTTTGATAATCAATTGTTACAAGTAGTCATCCATCCAGAATTATTAATTCGTTAAAGCATTGGCCTTCGGACCTCACCATGCTACACATTTTTTCTATGTTTGAAAATGAGAAGGAAAAACAAAAAGGGAGTGATGCTGGTCATTGACATTAACTATTGAAACTAATCCTATTGGTTCTCTCATGTTGTTGTGCTTTCTTATTGATACATTTTCCCATTTCACATCCAGGTTTTCGTGAATGTAGTCCATGTTGGGGTAGGGCCTGTTTCTCAATCTGATGTAGACCTAGCACAGGCATGTGGTGCATGTATTGTTGGATTCAATATTAAAAGTCCACCTAGTTCTGTTAGCATGGCAGCCACTCAAGCCAGCATAAAGGTATTAACCTCACATTTCATCCAATCTCAATGTTGATCACTATTCTCTTGCAAGTTTAACCTTGTTGGAAAGTACTAGAAAATTCTCTTTTAGTATTTTATTTTTTGGGGGGGGGACAAACAATTGATGCCAATCTATTGTACAAGCACCAGAATGAGAACTTTGTTGAACCGAATCATTTGTTTTACTTGTAGATACTGATACACCGTGTAATATATCACCTTTTGGAGGACATTGGCCATATGATAGTGGACAAGGCCCCTGGCACTTTTGAAACTCAGGTAGCTGGGGAAGCTGAGGTGCTGAATATCTTTGAGCTTAAAGGAAAGAGCAAGGCAAAGGGCGGGGATGTGAAGATTGCAGGTTGCCGGGTAATTGATGGTTGTTTCTACAAATCATCAACCATGAGGCTGTTGAGAAGTGGGGAAGTCGTGTTTGAAGGAACTTGCACGTCATTGAAGCAGGAGAAACATGATGTTGAGAAAGTAGGAAAAGGGAATGAATGTGGACTTGTGCTTTGTAATTGTGATACTTTCCAGATTGGAGACATCATCCAATGCTTGGAGCAAGTGGTTAGGAAACCCAAGTTCGTTTCATCAGAGAGTGGGGCTGTTTGTATTGAGTGCTGAAACAGCTTTTGATAGCGAGATTTTCTTTCACATAGGATAGGATACAGATACTCCACCATTGGTGACTACATTGAAATTCGCGCAATGCCTGTTCTGGTCTTACTGCGAGGTATGCGTTGCGTTTAGAGTTGAACACCTTAAGAATAAAATCTTGCCAATCTAGGGCTCTGCCCCTTTGTAATAGCAGTTGGAATTTAATCTGGAATTTGTCAATTTTGGAAGGCGATAGCGATTGCTTGTATCCAAATTTTGTATGCATAACAAACTTACTGATAAATATAAGGCAAAAGGAAGAGTATGTGATGTCATTCACCTCTTAGATACCCTATACGTTAAATTGCAAATGGGAATTAAATTTATGGGCGTAGTGCGTGTATGATTCAATCAAATTGACCTTTCATCACTGTAACATTCATGCTGATGAGGGCCCGATCATGCCTAAACACTCCATTTTTTTACATCAATCATAGGATCCAAGCTTGCTTTACATGCTTTGGCCTGGGAAAGGACTTGTTTGCATCAGCACACCAGAAGCATCACGAGGGCATAGTTTCAACTTCTTGCTAACCTCGAATCTTTGACTTCAAGGTGGATATTAGACTTTTTCAAGTTAAATAAACTTTCTTTAATCAATTTTGTCTTGGTTGGTTTTAATCGACTTCAATTTGACTAATTTAAGACAAGTAGTTTGTGTGACTAAACGACGCCGCAACAAGGCAGCCACATTCAAAGATGAAGGCCAACTCCCACTTTTCGGCCACTACTCCCCTCGCGAATTCTTCCTCTCTATCCAACGGCCCAGATCTGTTTCATATTTGTCAAATCCGGCTCACCCGTCGATTAAACCATCGCGGCTTTATCCGACCACATGGAACCCGGGTACTGCATCATCGATGATGGTAACGAGTGGTACGAAAGTAATTTGAATTTTCAAATTTTGACATCTTTTTTCTAGGTTAAACGAATTGTCATTCTCATGAATAAGGTTGTAAGACAAGGAAAACAGGGTATTATAAGCGATAGAAACTGGTATGGTCCTGGATGGGATGTGAAAGCTGCTAAGGTTAGCCCCTTTTTTCCACAATTTCCGGCTTCGGATGCGTACGATAGAAACTTCCATGCCTGACAGATTAGCAGGAAGACTAATTTTGTATAGAGCTCCAGTGTGAGGCCTGTGTCGAACCAGTGCTCTTAAAGCAAAATCCTGAAGAAATGTTTCCAGGGAATCAATGGAAGAGTTGTCTATGCTGTGGACAGACGAAGAGAAATACAAGCTAAAAACCAACCAGGGAAGTGTCAAGTTCATGTTAGATTTTCTGGTAATAATGAACAATGTCTAAAGGCCTTCTTTAATCTTTTCAACATGAACAAATAGTAATTGGAATTTACAAGAAATGCAGGAAGATCATGAAGAAGGGTTTATGATAATACTGTTCAAGAATATAGTTTTAAAAAGCATTTTTTAATGGTGATGTTTTTTCTACTACCATGATTTTTTTAATCCCTAACCATTTATCAGTCCAGAGCGTCGTGCACGTTTAATTTCGACGTTTTGAGACTTAATTGAGGTGGGTCTATTAGCTACAGGCAATTCAAGTCCCCATTAATCATTAAAGTCAATTTGGTGTTGAAAGAAGAGAGAGAGAGAGAGAGGCTTGGCCCGTCGATTGCGGCGAACAAAATTAGTGTTAGTGATAAAAGCATGCGCTGATAGCTCCTCTCTCTTCACTTGGATGCAATTTAATCTGAAATATCACATGAAAGATTGAGCACTTTGATAGATATATAAGAAACATGCTTTGAGTATCATTAATTAGTCATAACCATGCGAATGAAACCAATGCCAAATTAAAAATGATTCCAACAAAAACAAAATTTGTCTGAAATTTTAGTCAGTTGTGGAGCCTGGTAACAACTTCGTTGTTGAGCAGGCAGAGCGGAACATTGACACGTTTGAAGTTGAATGGAAAACGATGTAGGAAATATTTTACCTCGTGATGATTGTTGGTACAATATTGTTATCGTGTTTCCCTGTCCCCTGGCATCTGCAAAATTTTCGATGAGAATTAACACCTTTATCTTAAAGACGTTTGCCCTTTCTCTAGAAATGATTGAGAGTTTGAACTATGCCTGACAGTGAAAAAGATGCATTACTCATCTGTATCTGTAAATAAAAACGGTTGGCAAAGCATTTTCTTCTGAGAATCTGAGGGATGTTCTAAGGCTTCCATGAAAGCTTTTGCTTCCAATTCAAAATACCATTTTTTTCTGAGGAACCTTGCAGATTGAGTTTAGCTCAAGGGCAGGATCATTATATGTTCTTTACTCCGTTAACCTTCCCGCACTTGAATCCAAGTGCCGAGTGAAATTGTGGAAGACCATTAATTAGTGAAAGCTTAACAGTAGGTGCAAATTGATTGCCAAACAGTTTATGCATATAAACACAATAATAATATGCATGACATAAAATTATTCAAAATTTTCCAATGATTCAAAAGGAATTTACACAGGATAAAAAGCAGAAGGATCGGAACCAGAAAACTGATCTAGTGATCTGGGACCATACAAATACTAGAAAAGCCTAGCTCTCACAAACTCGTTGTCTAATGGTGAGTTCAGCCCTGAGATGGAGGATGCCATTTATAAAGTAGATGCTATCATCGGCCATGAATGCTGTCCAGGGTGTACCAAACAGGTTACGATAACCAACAGCCTTTCCTCCTGTGAAAGTGTAATTTCCTTTATACTTACTCACATAATCCTCAGTTGGCTTTGACCTAGCTGCAAACTCATAGTCAACAGCAAAAGTAACAGATCCCTTCTCTTGCATTCCCAAAAATAGCCCAAAGCAGTGGAATGAGCTTTGCTGGTCCATGTTGCAATGAGCTGACAAGAAAAACCCTTGCCCACCAAGATGAAACGCCTGTGAATAAACCCTACCAGCTGGAAACAGTTGTGCACACTCCTCACGCTTCAGGTCCAGGTACACAAGACACTGCTGTCTTGGCAGTTCAAACTCTACAACCTTGACTGGACGATACTTGTAAGCCCGTTCCACAAAGCGACGATAAGTGACATTGGCCTCCTCTGATGCAAGAGCACGCTGTCGGTATGGTGTCTCAGCCTTGAAAAAGAGAGCTTCAAGCACAACCTTGGATGCAAGTTCTGGATCAAAGTCATTGCAGATTAAAACTTTTTTCAGCTTTCTGCAAGTCATATATGGAAAACGAACTAGGCGACCAAGGCGTGTAGCAAGAACTTCACGTCGTTCCTCCAGTTTTGGGTAATGAGTTCGAGCCCACTTCAGCACAAAGTCATAAACAGCATCTTCTGAAGCTACCTGGAGATCATCACTGGAAAATACTGCCTCTATACCAGCAAGAGGCAAGTTCAGTACCTCCACCTGGAACCTGTCAAGAAAACAGTGCGCTAGTTAATCCATTATCTAGAAATTAACTCAAAAATGGACCCTAAAAAAAAAAGAGTTAACGAATGTTGACAGTAATTTCACAAAATTTGCCACTTCAGACAGCCAATATACATATCAAAGTTATTAAATTTTACTCAGCAAAATATATACATGCAATACATGCCTTGCATTTCTAGCCCGATTGTTTTTAAAGAAGAATGCCCACTATTTTGGAGGGAAAAACTTAAAAACAGAACCAAATAAATATCAACAAAAGGATGCCGCACATTCATATATAAGTAACAAAAGAAAGCAACCTTGTTGTTACAGATAAGACATTACTCAAAATATTAATATGTATTTAATATTGTAGATAATAGCAGCACTCACTTGGTTACATCCTTGTATCTTGCAGCAAGAAACTGCTTTGCTGCATCCGTCAGTGGCTGAACAGCATCTGCCATTAAAACACTAGAAGGAAGGTCCAAATATAGTAAGGCAGATTCACAGGTCATAGGCAGGTTCCGTAACAATCGACTACAATATCTCATGCATGATGCAACCTCGAATTTGTCAGCAGCCATCAGCACATCTAGCAAGGCAGTAGGTGTGGTTGTTGATAGGGTGTTGGTATACATAAAATTAAGGAGGTCCAGGAGAGCTGTTTCTTCTGCCCGGGAAAAAAAAGAACAAACAGTATTAGGTCATATTTATCTAGTCAATAATGAAGTAATGACCTAATAAAGAATATAATGACCTTTAGATCACAACCAAATGCATAAATGAACCCACAAAATATTAGCAGTTCCCAAATGAAAACAGACGAAGGTCAGTGGAATTCATGGGTAAAAAGAAGACAAGAATAGTAATAGGAAAAATATTCCAGCATTTACCAGAGGCATGTATCCGAAGTGTTACACGTCGCTGCTCTGACTCCCTCATTCCATTTGAAAACAACTGCAAAAAGAGGCAAAAACTGGTATCATGAATATGACTAACAATGATAAAGACAGAAAACAACCAACCAGCATTCCCTTACCTTATAAAAAAAGGGACTTTTTGCTGCTAAAATTGGAGAACTAATATGTATGGTCTTGACTCTTAGAACAGTTGAACAATCCATATTCCAAGATGAATCATTGCTACGTGTGTTATCATTCCCTGCAAAAGATCAAATAGGTATCAAGGATCATTCCCTGCAATCAGACAGTGAGGATCATTCCTTGCAATCAGACAGACAGTAACTAATACTGCTAGTTATTACAATAAAGAAAAGCTGTAGGTAAGAGAGAGAGAAAGAGAGAGACAACTTGTTCAAACTTCTAGTCCTCGTTTGATTGCTACTTTTCCTACAAGCTTTCTGTTTTCAAATACAAAATCTTATAAAAAAATTACAAATTCAATTTCGTGAATAACAAAATCCATAATTTTACTTCTACCCATTTGCTCATTTCCAATCAAATACGCCTTTGTGCCTTAATCTTTTATTTTGTTTTTTCAGCAAATTATGAAGAAGCAAAACGAAGCAACAAAACGCAAGTACTAAAAGAAACAAAAAACGACAACATGAAGGAACCCAAGTGAAGATTAACTAAAAAGAATGCATCAATTAGTAGTATGAGTACATATAGAACATAAAAAAGAGGCAAGCATTTAATTTCATGAAATTTAGTAGTTACCAATTTGATTGGAGTTCAATCCAACATCATAAGGTGACTCTTCAATCATTGCCACGTCCTCCTCATCTTGATTTTCATACGTTACACCATCCACCGTGTCTGGCATGTTACAATTCAAGATTTGCTCCTCACGTTGCCCGACAACATCTGCATGCGTCAAAACTACAATATTAAATTGTTAAAACCTAAAACAAGTAAAATATACCAATAATTTTAATAGTAGAGAAAACGAACCAGCTTCTTTCTTGAAATCCTCCCTCCGTCTCTTTCTATTACGGGCCCAATCAGCGATCGTGGAGCACCCGTCACCGTCGGATTTAGTCTCGGGCAAATCAGGCATGATCTCGATCCTCAAGACCCGATCGGAGAAATTACTGTCGTTAAAAGCAAACCCGAAGTCCGAGTCAGCGCAACCAGATCCGAAAGCTTCGCCGGGTGAGAAGTCCGAGTCCATAGTCGTTCGCGGATCGAAAAGATCAGCGTTCAGCACTCTCATGCCCAAAACCTTCAAACCCTTAACTACAACATAAGACAAATATATATAAAAATAATTAGTTCGAAGAAATTGAGGCTTCGGAGGAAAAAGAAACCGAAGAGTTTGGAACCTGAAACTAGTCGCTGCTTTGATTTCCGAGTTTGGAGTTGATTGTTAGGTGCGTTCTTGCTTTATGTTTTTTTTTTTTTTCTCTTTTTAATATCTTATATCATGCTACGTGGCAATAAAAAAGTTCAGCTGATTATTAATATATACGTAAAATATTAAAATTTAAGTATTAACATGATATAATTGATTATTTATATATTTATATTATATAAAATATTAAAAAATATATTTATATTATATTTTATATAAAGTATATATGTTATAATTTATATATGAAAAATATATTTTTAATTTTATTAAATTAATATATAATAATTATTAAAATTTTAAATTATTTTATATTTATTTTTATATTATATTCATATCTTCCATGTTTTAAATTATTAAATTTACGTGTAGCAATTATTATTACTATTATGGTGAAATATTGGTCTACATGGAATAAACTTGATATTATTAAAAATTATTTTTATTTTAATATTTTAAATATATATTTAAAATAAAATTATATAAAATTAATTATTTAATAAAATATTATCATAAATTAAATCCAAACTTGAAAATTTATGTTCAAGATCTAACTCCGAAATGAGTTAAATCCAAAGCTGCATAAGTAATCCAATTTGTGGACAAGTTTATTATGAAATATAACACAATTTATTTTTTGCTCCATTTCAATTTTTTAACTTTTTTATTTTTTGAAAAAAATAATTTGAATAAATAAATTATTTTATATTTAATTGAAATGATATAACAATAGGTAAAAGGATTAAAAATATTTTTGAATAAAATTTAATAACAATTTAAATTTTTTATATTTTATTACAATTAATTAAATCTTAAATATTTTATTTCGATTCAATTAAATTCTTAAATATTTATTTTTATCTAATTAAACTCTTAAATATTTAATTTCATTCAATTAAACTCTCAATTTGATAAAAAAAATTAAATAATTTTTTTCTAGCAAAGATTCAATAGGTTAAAATAGATGTTTAAAAATTTAATTGGTTGTAAAAAAAAAAAGAATTTAAATAATTATTAACATTTAATTCAAAAAATTTTGTTTTTTACATTTTTATCAAAAATAAAATACAAAGAAAAGGGAACAGCCTTGTTCTTATCACCAATCAAATAATTCTATTAGTATATATTGTATTATTTTCTCTCTCTTTACCTTTTAATCTTTTATTACTTATATTTTTGCATTTGCTAATTTATTGTAAAGAAAAATTAAAAAGCCCTAATTTTTCATTAATAATGTAATAGTAAAAAGAAGAAACAAAAGGACAACAATAGCATCCAATTTGGACATGAAATTACCTTTTCTAGCACAGATCAGATCAGGCCTTCAAAAATGAGGTCATATGTGGACTTAGATGGATAGGCTGGGTTTTAGCCCAGTCACTGCAAGGGACTAGTAACCAGTTATGAGTCGGTTGGCCCAATCACTACTAAGGCTGCTTTGAACCAGATGGTTAACTCTGTTTCCAGTCTCTAAGCCTAGTCTTAGACCCAAGTTCAGTGGGACAGAATGGCCCCAAGGCCCAAGCCTTCTTAATTTCCCGACGAGTAACTTTCTTTAGTACGCATGCAGTGATAGTTTAAGATTCCTTATGAAGTAAAAAAAAAAAATTCAGAAGAATAAAATCGAAACAAACTGTACGATGGAACTACATAATTTTTACTGAAACTTTTAGCACTAATTGTACCTCAAAATAAAATCCAAAATTAATACGTTTAAAGTGAAAAGAATAAGCAAATTTCATAATACCTCAGATGGGTCAGTGAGATCTAGAGCCTAAATCAAAAGGACGATCGATTGTTGTATGACCAAAAATATCAGAACCACAAATATTTCTACAATTCTTTCTCGTTTCATGGAATTTTGTCTTAACTTTTTGAAGCATGAATGAATCATAACAAGAAATCTATGGTTTTGAGGCAGAACCCAAAAAGCAATGGTGTTGCTTCCCTGTCCCGTCAACTCAATCACATCTTTCTATTCCATCTGGTGGCAGGTAAGCAGTCACATAAGAAAATCTTGGCATTTCTTTTTTTTTTTTGCTATCTTCCCATTTCATTGATCATCAATGAACTTCATTTAATAAGTGAATTTTGACTTTAACGATGAACTTGAGACAATGAAAATTGCCGGGGAAAATGATGTTACTTAACCCACCATCCCCACCGAAATAAAAAAATAAATATAGTCCAAAATCATGAAAACTTTGTCAAAAAATTAAAAAAAATCCTATTGTCACTTATAATTTATTTTTTGTTTGATCATAAAACTACTATTTATAAAGATATAATTTGATGTTGATTGATATTTAGATCAATTAATATAATTTTTATTAATGTTTGAAGATTGTAAGTTTAAATAAATTTATATACATAATTTTTTTTAATCAAATAAATATCAAAGGATAAAAGAATGATGATAGATTAACAAATTAAAACAAAATACAATAATTTGGATGCTAAAATTTTAACTTATTATCCCCCTTCTTTGAAAGAAAACCCTCAAACATTTTTAAAATGCACGTAAATAAAATATTATAAATTACTAATCGATATAAGATTTTAAAAATTTTTTTATGCAAACAATAATTTCGAAATGAACTCTTTGAGCAACGAGTTTAAAATATAAGCTAACTATTAATAAATTTAATAAATTTGTACTAAAAATATGTCATTGTACCTTTTTTTTATAACTTTTTAAAAATTTAAATATTTTTCAATTTGCATATGTCATTCTTGCTTAAGGCCTATGTTAATCTTTTCCGTATCCTTTTTTATTTTTTCGAATAACTAGTTATACTATTATCTTATATGAAACGCATATTGTTTATGAAACAGAAAAATAGAATATTTTATAAAAATAAATAGTAGTATATGATTATCAAAGGTTACTTTTAATTGGAATAATTCACTCAATTATTAAATTTTGGATTCTGATTAATCTAATTAAGAGCAAAAGCCCAGAATTAAAAGTAGATTATGTTGTCGATATTCTTCCCCTATCATTCAAAGTACAGGCTAGTCTACATTAAACATTCTTAATTAATTGCTAAATGGTGGTGATCATAAAGCCATAAACCCTTTTTTTTTAATTTGGGAATTTTTCCATTTTTTCCCTTAATAATTGTCAGTATAATTGTTTTTTTTTTTTATTAACTTTAATTGTGGTTGAACAGTCAAAAAGCTAAAATTCTGTCCCCTTTGCTTCCAATGCCAAGGCAATAAAAAAAATACCAACTGTATTGATGAATCATTTAACTTGTTCATGTTTGGAAAATCATTGCTTTTAATATTGCCAACGCCGGCATGAAGAATTTGTTGAGATGCCTGATAATATTAAAAATAAACCTTTTAATTATTCAAAAGCTTAAGGATCAGAAGAATAAATGCCCCCATCAATAATATAAGGCTACACGATGAGTCATATCAGATCATCAATCAAGGATTCTCTTGAGAAGAATCTACAAAAAAAATAATAAAAAATACAATATTCCAACATGTAAAGTTTTTATGTTTCGTGTTGGATCATGAATTAGCATTTTCAACAGGAAAAGAAAAGCAAAAGGGCTGAATTATCACTTCCCAATGAAGTAAATCATCCTTTTAACTATTCAAAGTAAATATCCCTCACTGCTTTTCTGACATCATGTTCACAGCTACTTTGAAATACTAATACCAAAATCCAATATTTTTTTTCCTACTTTAAGTTATGCTTAACGCAAATGCAAATCCTATAGATACTGGTACATTTCTGGGTTCATGGTTTCACTATGCAAAAAGGTAAAGCAGTATGTCCCAAACCATATTGCTGCTTGATGGAAAAGGAATTATATATATATATAATGTTTATGAGGTCATAAAATTTCTTCTTTTGATTTGTTTATGAGAAAGGGCTAATTCCAAATCATATGAATTATGAGCTGATTGTATTTTAATGCCAACATCCTATGTAGGGATCCCTTCATTAATTTGTTGTTGAGATCAAAATAAGCAAAAACTTCTGGCAATGGCCAATAAGTCAATTGGCTTGCAATCCAATTTCAGTCCATAAAAGACACGAATTGAGAACTTAAGATCAAATTGGCAAGTACACTTTTGTTATTAAACCAGAATTATATCATTATCAATAACATGTGGGTAGAAAAACTTATTATACATCGTCAATGGTATTTAATAAAAGTAAATTGGATTTAAAGTTTGAATCAATGACTCCAGCCATATAAAAGTAATATTCTAGCCAATAAATCATTTACTATCATAAGTAATCATAAAAAAAAAAAAAAAAATGAACTTATCACATTGATGGATTATAAATATAATATTACTTATTTCTAGGCAACACCAATCAAATTAATCTAAAAGATATGATTATGATGTTTGATCATATAATATTCAATTTGATAGGAAATTACTTGAAAGTAATTTTTTTCTTTTATTTTCATTTATATAGGCGACAGGTGAAAATGTTTATAATATAAAAAAAATTGAATGAAATGAGAACACATGAAGAACTGAGCTATGTCTGCTTCAAACGACAGTAAAGATTATACAGAGAGTTGGAGCAAAGTCTTAGTTAATATTTTTATTTCATTACCCAAATTTCTTATAACATAAAGGATGAAAGTTAGAACTTAGAACCGTCACTGAAGAGAGACAAGTGATTGAAAAACCCAACCATAGCCTTGAAACTCGAAACCATGTATCAAGCTAGTGCAGAAGAAAGAATAATGAACAGATATAAAGGATCATTGGCTGCAGGATGTTGGGCAGCTAAGCAATAATTCTGGCAAAACCCACTATGACAAATATATATAATTTCTTTTCTTAAAAGAAAATTCCCTGATAAACGGTAAAAAAATGGCATTCTGTTGTAATTATTTAGAGATAAGAAGAGAAGCAGGTGTTTGGAACAGGAGAAAGTCACTTTCATGGGACAACCCCATTTGTCCAATAAAGCATGAAATTAATGCCTGTGCTCATGTATGCATTGGGAATTGTCCCGCTTCTGCTCCTATTTGCTGACGTTAATCTGTTAACTCTCCGAGATTTCTTCTGTCTCTCGCCCGTGTATGAAGGGAGGTGTCTCTTCCCTT